GAATTCTTTCCATTTTGATCAGTTTTTCATACAATTTCATTTGTCTGAATGCTACATTAACTATAAAATAGAGATCATGTCGGAAGTACACGTAGCCACGAAACGACCCTTCTCTTAGTGAATTTTAGTACAATGTTCTAATGATTTCAGTGAAAATCATAACAATTTATGTACTATATAAGTAAAATTGCAACTGCATTCTAAATTTATAATAACGATGGATGAATTTTTGTAGATGTCACTATCATTACTTGTCAACCAATCATTGTATTCAACCAGGCTCCTCAGCTTGTTATGTCGATTATTTGCCTATTAGTCTACCGACAAATCGAGAAAAAAAACCTAGCAATATCAAATGGCGAATATACTTATGCACTTAGTGGCGCTAATTTCTGACATATCCCGATCACTTTTTCAAAGGGACGACTTAAGAGAGCGTCCGCGAGACCACCACCCAAAATGATAGGGGTAAGTTGCCGAAAAAATTTAGTTTTTCAAATTAGATAGCTAGTTTGAAAGAGCATTAAAAGTTAGGCAGAAAACCAAATTTTTACAAATGTTGAATGATGTCTTCTAATATTTTGCCGACCCAACTCTTTCGATCCTCTATATTACTTTCTCTAAGTTCACGAGATTTGCTTCGTATTCATTTATAAAATTTTCGATCACAAAAATGTTATGGAATTCTTTATCAAGTTATACCAATAGATAGAGCAGAAGATGCTCTACAAAACTATGTATTTAATATAAATTATTGTCCGAATGAAAGAAAAGAAATTGTCGTCAAAAGACATCGAATCGACCATTTTTGGGTGTGGGTGTTGGTGTTGGTATTCATTTCACCCACACCTCACACCCACACCCAACAATAACATTTCATTTAAATTTCTTCTATAGAATGTGTTATATACGAAAAACCGTGATATGTCTCTTTTCAGTGAAGTTTTACAAAGTCCGTTTGTCATATCAATTAGTGAATCAGAGTATACAGTAGAGTAAAAAGTCTTCAAACCCATAATTACTTATACCTGTACTGCTGACTATATAATCCAAGAAGCAAACATTCGTCATACGAATAATAGATCTCTATTCATGGCCAACTAAAAAAAGGTGCAAAACATTGGCAGCTGTAAATACTGCATAAAACTGCAAAGCCCTACTAGGAATGTGGAAAGAGAACTAGTCATGAAAACTAATGCACACGGCTGTGCTTCCTCTAAAATTATCCATCTTATAAGGAATTCATAGAAATTGACAGTTTTAAAATATAATAGAAACAATAGTTAACATATTAGATTTCTCACACCAAGAGACCGATATTATTTGCAAAGGCACAAGATACAGAGAACATGAGCTCTACATTGAAATAAGTATTATTACTCATGTCTAACACTTAATGCAGATATTAGTGCTGAGTCAAATAAAGAGAGTTACATGTGATTCTAATCGATTCAGTTTTGATCTCTGATTTGAATGTAGCTGGTCTAAATCGATACTTGACAGGGTAGATAGGGGGCATGGGAAAGGGTTAATCATAAGTATTGACTCAGTTCGATTCCGAAAAATATAAATCAATCCTATCGAGGATAGATATCTTTTTTGAGTAAAAAACAACAAGAGCTCTATGTACCTTTCACAATCAATAATTTGTGTTTTCAGACAAGCTTCGAGTAATTTTCTAATAATCTTTGTCATTATCGTATTGTACCGGCGTTTCTCTAATGACAATTTATACATGAAATTATGGCTGTGGTATTACCTTTACTTGTCAATGTTACTTTAAATTTTCATCTTTGTTATATCTTCGATCGTCTTCGCATCAAACTACAGCAAATATTAAACGTAAGGCAAATCAAAATAATTGAAAAAGATTAACAAAGAAAACCCGTCGAGATACTCGTTTATTATTACATATAATTTTCATATTTTTTCTGTTTATACAATATCATGTTTAATATTGATAGTCAAACTTCATCTTCTCATTTTTCCACTTTCAATCATTATTGGAGAACTTTATTTGATGAGTATTATTAATGGTTTTGTTTTTATATACAATCATCAATTGAAACATCACTCAGTCATTAAGACTAGGCTATGTTTCAAAAAA